CTAATTTTGCTTTACCAATGAAGAACTACTCGGAAAGCCGGAATTGGTAAGTGCCATAACACCCCCCCGCACAGTGGAAGATCCTAATATAAAATGTAGGAAAAAGTCGTAATTCTGCTCCTATTTCGTTGTAATTTGTCACATCTGAAAAATTGAGTAGATAGGGGGCGGTAAAGATAAACTCTATCCGGTTTTAATAAAATAAGGTTTGTATACAACAACAACGGATAATTTAACGGAACCGCAAACAGCTTGAGATATAAACAAAAGTCTTATCTTCTGATGGCTCATATTTCGCTTTGTATCATTGTGTAACATATACTTATTAAATTATCTAAGACCAAGTTATTGGGAAAACTTTTTGGTTTTATTTATTAAATGGATACTCGGGGTATTGCCTATAATTAAAACAATTGTGCAGAACTTGTTTCGGGTTTTCGCAGCATTTTTAATTTTGCATAATATTAGATTTATTCAAGTTAAATACTTTAATCTGAAATTTGCTAAGCATAGTTATCATTTTTTTCTACTGACATTGTATAAATTATGGATAGGTTTAAATGGAATAACATGCTTCCGGTGGCGCATCAATACCAATAAAAATGTAAATGGCTCATTCCACGGTGACGGGTGTGACATATCAACATGTGACATATTTTAAGGCTTAATTCCTATACTGTAATATAAAATTCTTTAAAACGAGTATTTTCCAATAGGTTTCCGAGGTATACACAATGCCAAGGAAAAAAAATTCCAAAAGTTGAATCCAAACGAGTTATATGAATTTTAGTCACTGTGACGGGTGTGACGAGTACGCAAACCAAATTAGCTACTACTTATTTGTAACAGAGTTTTTCTGCTAATTATGTCTTTTGCTTATGGTTTAAATAAGTCGTTGTATAGTTAAAGAACCAGTTTCAACATTTACGCCAAAGTTGCGTACCTCTATTGGAAATTATAGATTATATGTTCCAAATTCAACTGTGACGGGTGTGAACTGACTTTGTGACGGGTGTGACAAGTTGAGCATGAATACATAAATACACATTATTAGGTAACTAAACTAACTTTATTTCTCCCAAAATCTGATTTTACGAACACATAAAAGATTCTGCCACCTAAAGACGGGATAATCCTTGATCGGACTCTTCATCTCCATTGTCTGTCTGAGTAATTGTAACGTACCTTATTTTTAAATAGTATGAGGGTGTGACCTGTCAAACCGAGGCTATTACCTATCAAACCGTTTTAGATACTGTTTTTGCACTGAGAAGTGAAGTAATGGATTCTTTTTATCCGTGACAGCATAGCTTAAGTTTTCCCATCGCTCGAGCAACATATCTTTATGATTGGCTTTATCATCGCTGATCACAAACAGATATATGACACATTTCAGATTAGTAGATAAGTAACGGCAGCAGTCCCTGGCCGAATTTATTTATATTTGTCAAACTTTAAATTGTGATGGGTGTGACATGTGACGGGCGTGACCAACGTAATCTGTTCTTTTTACGAAAATAAAAGCATATAAACACTTGAAAGCAATTCGCACATATTCGCCTATGTCAAAGCGTTACTTTTGCCAGCTTTTTTTCACTGTCCAAGAATTGATTTCCTTCAAAAAATAACTATTTTGTGTATTTTGTGACGGGCGTGATATTAAAATATGCTTTGCTTCAATATATAATAAAATATTTATTACTTGCACGAAAAACTTAAAAATTACACTTTTACAATGATGACGAATTGTTCTCTCCACTGACCGTTTAAATAATGCAAAAAAGAAAAATAGACTGCGAAAGTCAGTCATGTTTATTTTGAAGAAAATTAACCTCCGATTTGAGTTTGTAAATCGTACAACCTAAAGTATAAAAATATCTGATTTTGATATGAATTTCGAAATTTTGGCTTTCAGTCTTGAAAGTTAGATTTATTTACTCTTACTTACTAGAAATAATACACTCAAGTTCTTAAGTTTTTTTCGTTTCATTCGGTATCGATTACCGTGGAATGAGCCAAATATATTGTTGAATCAATTTAAAAACAACAAACACACATATTATGTTTTTTTTTTTACCACGAGCTAAATGCATTCATTCATAAATAAATTCTTAAACGAGTTCCCACTCACGCACTCATATACACAGTATAATACGTCAATTTGTAAGCTGCAAGCGCTATTTTAATGCCAGCTTTATGTTAATTATATCACTTTTATTATTGCAATATGTATGTAATAACACAGCAAAGAAAGCAAAAATCGTTTTAAGTAATGAACGATTAATTAACCATTTGTTTAAATATAAAACGCATTGCGCGTATAAAGCTACGTGTAACCATAAAAGTGAACAAACTACTTTTTTTTTATCTAAATTGGAAAAAATTTTCATCAGAATTAAAATCAGCATTCAAAAGGCCTCGGACGCGAACTCGTTTTTCGACTTACGGCCTTACTAAGGGCCGTTTTTTACAGTGACGAGTTAACTCTCATTCGGCAGCTAACTATAGCTTTTCAGTACAAAATTTGAAAGTTAACTACCGAATGTGAGTTAACTGTGAAAACCACACTAAACAATGCATAGTGTTGTCAGAAAAATAATTTTAGTCGACTAATCAATCATATGATTAATCTCAAGACAAAAATAATAATTGCAATTAATTGCTGTTGTTTTCAAATAATCAATTAATCGAAAAATTTTTGTAACTAACTTCTACAGCAATAAGGCCCAACGACGACCAATTTCCATTTTTGTCATAAAGTTCACGTAACAAGAGTCTCGCTTAAATATTCGGTACCAGGTAGTTATACGTATATTTATTTCGTCTTGTCCTTCATTAATTCTTTCTTAAGCTAATTACTGCTGAAAATAAAGAACCATAGCTGTTGCGAAACACTATTTGACAAGCTAATTGTAGTAACATAAAAAGCCACTGAGAACAAAACACTTTTTATGCACTGCCGAAGTGACAAAATAGGTTATTTAACAAGTAATTTTTAGCAAAAAAAAACCGACTTCAACTCTCATATAAACAAGTAATTTTTAGCAAAAAAAACCGACTTCAACTCTCATATAAAAAATATATATATATATATATATATATCATGATCCACTGATCGGATCTTAACCAGATTAGTATGAGACCACCTCTGAGACACTACCTTTCCGATGCAAAAAGAATTATCGAAATCGGTTGACGTGGTCCAAAGTTATGCGGTAACATACATACAAAAAAAAAAAAAAATTATCCGACGAACTGATAACCTCCTCCTTTTTTTGGAAGTCGGTTAAAAATTCATTAATATCGTTTAATGAATATTTAAGTTCTGTAAATAAAAATCTTTACTTAACGAACGATTATGAAATTTTTCTGTTTGTTTTCAATAAATTTCAATTTCTGGGCAAGAGAGAGGTTTTAACCGCGTATCAACAAAATGCAAAACCGCGTATCAAGATAATGCAAAACCGCGTATGTGAGGTTGCATAAATTATTTTCTAGATAGTAAAAACACTCATATTTGAAAATTGTTTTTTTTTTTATAAAGCAAATCGCATTTCTGGCTAGTATATTTCAGAATGAATGGATAAGGATTGAGCCAAGAGCTTGTGGGAGCAAATCCAATTTTTGGCAGCCAATGTCAGTTACGCCGTTTTTCAGAATGACGATACGCGGTTTTGTACTTTAAACGATGATATGTACGTTCATAGCATTTTCGTAGATTTCACGAAAAATAGGACTACCAAGGCTTCTGTGATAGCCCCCACTTATAGCCTATTTTCACCAAAAGCTTAAGAGGTCAGGTAAGTTGAAAGAATTTTCATATATATACTTCAATATAATATTTGTAAATGTAATAATATTTGTGTAACTCTTTTCTATTTAACGGGTCACCCTAATAAACCATCGATATTATGGTAAAATTTGCGAAGATGTAACGCATAGCTCACCAAAAAATTTCGAACACATGGTGTTTGTCTCAGTGGGTGAATTTGGTGGAGTGACTTGGGAACCACTTGGGGTACAGGGGGCCCATTTGGAAACAGTTTAGGACCAGTTGGTAACTAGTTTTTGGAGGCCTGTTTGTAAGCAGTCAGGGACCAGTTGGGTTCAGTTTGGGACTAGTCAGAAACTAGCTACTTTCGTACCATCTGGGGCCCAGTTGGTTGATTTGAACTCCAGTGGCCGTCTTGAGGCGTTCGAAGGCCTTTTAAGGAGTTTTTAACGTGTTTTTGGACGCTGGGAGTGCCGTATTAATGTGTGTAAGCACCAATCTATTAATATCGTTGAATTATTTCAATATTTATTGCAAAACTTTATACAGACAAGACTAAAAAGTAGAAAATAAACAAAATAAAAAAACTTTTTAATATAAACAATTTATGAGATTAAAAATGCAAAGCGTGGGGCGCATGTAATAGACTTGAATTGATATATAAATATATGAATAGCGATCGCTTAAAATCGATATCAAATTTATACTTGTGCTGTAAAAATTTTAGGTCTATGTTATGTAGTTTGACTGTTGTCAATTAAATCTAATGTTTTGTATTGCACGCGTTCCACGTTTTTCGTTTTCAATCTCATAAATTGTTTATAATGACTTTTGCTAAAATTTCAAAATCAAAAGTTATCAAAACAAATTCTATGGGACTGAGAAATATTATTTTCTGCTTTTTAGTCCATTTATAAAAGCGTGGTATATTAAAAAGTTTAATTTTTTTTATTTTTATATTTGATTTCAAACTGAAAGAAAAGTGAGTGATGCCACATTAATTAACAGATTTAACGATCATTAGTTAAGTGCTCGTTGGAGCTATTGAAATGAATGTTTCTGAGTGCGGCTGTAAATGTTTTTTTACGATGAAAAAAGAATGCCACGATACAATTAAATGATAATCGCTGAATTCGATCAGATGATTAGTCATTGCCATCTCTACAAACGCACTACAACCAATCGACACATTGGATAATCATGTGCAATCAGTTCATTTTTTCTTACCTATATTATCTGATAATTGAATTGCTAATTGAGAGAAATGCACTTACATCATTGAATTCACTCTTGAATGGTCCATGTGATTGCATTAGTTTGAAGAATGTGCGCAAACGCTTCGATTTATGTGGCAAAACTGGCTGCGCATAGGCCAGGCAATATTGTCCTTTGATTTCTTCACCGTCATCGCCGTTAGCTGCTGTTGCATCACCAGTGGTGGCGCTGATGCCTAGACACTGGTCGAAATCACCCAGCTGATTTATGTTGCCATTGAGTATCCCCGAAGTGATCTTGCCGGTGGAGTCGTGCACTACAATAAAAAAAGAAAGAGCTATGTGAACCTTTCATAAAAATCTAGGAATTTGTACAGCCTAGATAAAAAAATTCGAAAAAATTTTAATTCAGTAAATTGATTTTGCACGTTTTCGGTTTCAGCTTGTGAGCCGATGAATAAATTAATACGTAAAGGGGAAACAATAATTGGCAGCAGGTTCGGTATAAATTGAATAAAAGATAAGTAATCAATTGCTAGCGTTGTGAATAGACAAGAAGCAAATAACATTGATGTCACGTGATTGGCGGAAAAAGTTGTACAATAGCTTCTCGTGGAATGCTCTGAGTACAGAGGCTGTATGAAAAGCTACTTAATAAGATGTAGTGAAAAAATTATTGTACTGTCTTTTCAAAGATATCTTTGAAACTCTCTCAAATTATCAAAGAAATGCATTATTTTAATTTCAGCAAGAAATATCGAATATTTTTGAGTTTTTTTATAGCAAAAATAAAAGGCAAAGTTTGAGTGATATTTTTTGAGCAGAAGGTCACGTTTAAATTTAGGTTTTAATCTTTTAGTCGCTGATAATAAAATGAAATATGTTGTGATTTTCAGGGTATTAAAAGTCAAAAGTTAACTAAGTAGTTTTTTTATAATATGTATACAGCATAAATACTGCGTGAACTTGAGAACTGTAAACGAGGGATGCCACCCGGATAAAACATTTGGTCAGTTCGGTTCAGCAATCTAAATATATATGTACATATTTATATATCTGTTCGGTTGTATGCGCCTTTTAGTGCATGCGCCCTTTGATCCACCACTGAACTACCTATCATCTGAATACGCTCCTGCACTGATCCCGCAAATGCTTAAACACTATCACTTGCCTATGATAAGAACAAAGAATTAGGCAAACCTCTAATTGCTCGCCCTTGAACTTGAAATTTGAGTAAATATGTATGAATGCACATATTCGGCTATTGTTTTTGGCACATAGTTTTAGTTGCTATTGTTTTCGCAAACTGGTGTAGATGAGTAAATATGTTTGACTGCATTTGGAATTTTCAGGCATACATATTGACGCATATAACGTTATGCACCTTTGTGATGTATTGTATAAATAGTAAACATTACAAGAAATAAAACTGAGCATTTGCATTTTGAATTCTAAGCAGAACTCTTTTGCGTTTTTATTTATTTTCTCAGCACTGCCGCCGGTCGAACAAATTAGTTTGCCCGTACAATATCTATATATATAACAAGTAAGAAAGTCTAAGTTCGGGCGGCGATGAACATTAAATACCCGGCGCAAGTATTAAGTATATGTTTTCCACTTTGTCGAAAGCTACCGCTACATAGTAAGCCGGGGTGTATCAATTTTGAGTAAATTAGCGTCCTTAAATTTCGAAATATTGAAGTTTCAAGCATTTCTGAAATTTACCGTTATGTGAAAAGCGGCCGTAATTTTCTTTTACGTGGCAAGCACAATAACCATACCGGGTTTGGTACAAATTGGTAGAACGGTTACCGAGATACATATATGTGATCATAAGTGGGCGGTGCCACGCCCATTTTCCAAAATTTTATCAATAACGTATTTCTTGGTAAAGAATTGTTGCAAGCATCAATTTTGAATAAATTAGCTTTACTATTTACTGATTTATCGAAGATTTTGTATTTATCTAAATTACCGTTATATGGGATGTGGGCGTGGTTATTGTCCGATTTTAAAAATTTTCGGCCATTTGGTATGCTGTAGCATGGCCGACAACTGTGCGAAGTGTGGAAGAAATTGGTGCAGCGGTTATCAAGATATACACATGTAGCCATAAGTGGGCGTGGCTAGTGGCTCAGTGTTCTCATTTCTCGTCTAAAATTTATTGTAAATATCAATTTTGAGTGAATAATCTTCAGTAGTTACTAAAATATCGCAGTTTTCGTATTTCTGAAAATTACCGTATTTGGGAAGTGGGCGTGGTTACAGTCCGATTTCGCCCATTTTCAATATCAACCTACCTTGGAGTTATCGTGTACACGGACGGACGGACAGACGGATAGACGGACGGACAGACAGACATGGCTTAATCGACTTCTCTATTCATTCTGAGCATTTATGTATACATTTGTCTATATCTATCTCGATTCGTTTTGGCTGTTACAAACAACTGTTATGTGAACAAAGTTAATATACCCTTGTGCACAAGTGCGCTCAGGTATAAAAATGAAATGTCTTTCGTATGACCGCGATACCTGACCAATCGGCTGAACCGATTTCAATTATGTAAAAAGTACTATTTTTGATCTTCTGTGTGGAAGGCCTTTCGATTAAAAAAATTCAAAAATTTTTGTTGTTGTTGGCAAAAAAATTAAGAGAGCGGAGACGTCACCATTTCACAATTTCATAGAGTTTTCCGTATATTGTATGTCAATAAACTACCAAACGGCTGGACCGATTTCCTTCATATTTGAAATATATGTCAGCCTGGAAGGGAAATATTCCGACTAAAAATTTAACCGCTAGGTGGCGCTGGGGCCTGGATATTCCTAAAAACTGCATTTAGTTGCAGATTTGGCTCATATTTAGAACATTTTTTTTGCCAATTGAAAAGGAATGTTTGGACTAAAAAATTACAAGATAGGGTGCGCTGGGGTAGGAATATTCCTAACGTTCTTATACAGTGGGAGAATTATGGATATCTACACATATATGTACATACGTCACAATAAAATGTTGAAATCCCTTTTTTGAGGGCACCAATATATCTCTTAAACCAACTACGCTGGAGAACTGAAACTTAGCGCGGATGCATAAATCGTAAATACCTTACTTACGGCGAAAACTGGAAGCTATTGGAAAAGGGGGTGTGGCACCTCCCATACATACTGAACATCTGCTATCGCTTATCTCTGGAAGCGCTTACGGCAACGTCCTGAAATTTGACACAGCTACATATATAAACTGAACTTCTCATATTGCTTATGTCTGGAACCGCTTATGCTAAAGTCCTGAAATTTTACACAGCTACATATGTTATCAGTAGCGTACTTATGGCGAAAAGTGGCAGATATTGGAAAAGGGGGCGTGGCATCTCCCATACAAAGTTAATTTCTCATATCGCCTATCTCTAGAACCGCCTTATGCTAACGCCCCAAATTTCAAACAGCCACATATGTAATCAATGCCTTACTTTAAGAGAAAAGTGGCAGGTATTGGAAAAGGGGGCGTGGCACCTCCCAAACAAACTGAAATTCTCATATCGCTTATGGCTGAAACCGCTTAAGTCAACGTCCTGAAATTTGACACAGCTATATACATATGTTATTAATACCGTGCTCATGACGGAGAGTGGCAGGTACTGGAAAAGTGGGCATGATACCTCCCATAAAAACTGAAATTTTCATAACGCTTATCCCTGCAACTGTTTAAGCTAACGTCCTGAAATTTGACACAGCTACATATGTTGTCAATAACGAACTTACTTGCTGTCTTCATTAGCGTACAGCCATCGCAGGAGATTTGTCAGTTTCATCGCAAGCGAAAAGCTCATCGCAGAGAAATTTTGGTACTTGGGCATGTCATCGCAGAGATTTCATAAGTGCTTACGAAAAATAATGAAAATTACTGTATTCGCAAAAATAGCTTACTCCACGTTGTTTTGAGCATTGAAACATAACTTCATCAAAATTTAAAGTTAAAAAAAGCTCTGAAACTAACTTTTTAACAGTTTATCCTTGCACTTTGCGGTCTAAACAAGCGAATCATCGCCAGCGATCTATCGCAAAAGGTGAACAATCGCTAATGGGGACAGCAAGTTACGTCTGAAAGTTGTAGTTATTGGAATGGCTGCCCCTATAGATAGGCAAGCATCTTTCGACTGGGAACCTTTTTCTCCTATATTTCTAAATTGCATTGAGCGATTGTTACTTTCTTTTTAATTTTTGGGTAAGGGTAAAATTTTTTGTGAAAATTTTGAAGAATCTTTTTAAATTTTGCACAAAGTATGAAATTGCAATTTTTTAAGAGTTTCGTTATAGACTGTCCTATCTACATTCATATGTATCTATATACATAAAATGGTAGCTGTTTTTGTTGTTCGGACTGAACCCAAAAACCACTGGAGGGAGTTCAGTCAAATTGTCGGTGGTTATACCTTTCACATATGTCCCTATTATAGACTAACTACTAGGAAACTCGCTTGGTGGCACTGGAGTTGAGTCATTTAAAAGAGACCCAAGGATGGCGCTGCAGCCGTAGTATATAGAAACCCCATGGGTTTGGCCTTCTTTGGCCCTATGTTTATTTTATATGAATTTACTTTTCAGATGGCTAAATGAAATTGTGTAAGCGCACCTTTGTCTGACGCCCTCATGCACCATTAATGCGAACTTGCATTTACCTCTGATTAACGAAATTGCTCGGTGCGGCCGTTATTGCAGTAGTAAGACTCCAAAAAAACCAGTTCATAAATATTTAGACGAATTGTAAAAGCGGCGAATTGACAAAGAAAGATTCAACCACGTCTGTCCAAGAAAGAACACGGTTGGTATATCAATGGCTTCATTTGAACGATATTCATGAGATCACACGACTCATTTAGCCAATGTACGCGAAAACTTTTCATCCTGTGGGGCAGCGAGGATTCTTGGCCCTCTTATAACAGAAAACGCTCATCTGTTCTCTTAGGCTTCCTTATAAGCACTTTTATTGGCTTCCGCATCGGACCAATGGTGTAGTTGCAAGATCAAAGGAGATTGGCAGATATTTCACAGGTGTAAATAAGACCATCGGCAAATCTCATGACATCGAAAGGGATTAGTATTCCATGTGTTATCAAAGCGCTACTATTTTTGGCCTATTAATGAGGAGGATTCTGCTCTTTAGTCGTCAATTTTTTTTTTTTACTTTACATACCGTCTTCTAAACGCTATTTTTGAAT